TATATATATATATATATATGTATATATAACTAGACGAACCTTATGGTTGTACGGCAATGAAGCATCAGTGCCAACACTGATGTTGCTGTCTTTGATGATGACGTTGGTTTTTGAAAGAACCAACTTGACAAAAATAGGTGATTGGCCACGTGTTCTCTATGCCAGTTGACCGATTGGTCTCTTGACAAGTGTCCGTTGTTCGTCAACTCCATATAGGCATCCCTTATGTGTACAAACGACGTGATTCTTCATCTAACCCTCAGGGTCCCATCTTTGTCAGTTTGTGGTGTTGACTCCCAGAGGAACTGAGTGGCGAAGACGAATCACATACTCCGCTTGGGTACTAAATTTAAGAAAGAGGATAATCTTTCAGCTGTGACACCCTTTCGGTGCCTAACCTCAATGCCACGAGGTGAAGGAAGCACGAGGGCTGGGATTCTCTCAGGTTGCCCAAGTCTAGACAGGGGAAGCCAAGAGGCAGGGGTCGGGTTCTAATCACGGTCCATCCGTCCAGTAAATACGTGCCCTAACCACTTCAGCCATCTCGCCGCCAATCTCCACGTTGATGATTCTTCTACTGGTCTACACGGAAAGCGTGTCTTCAAAATCCGTTTAGTATACCCCAGATCCCACCCACCATCAGTGTATTTCTTGCTGAGAAAACCGTCTTGGCAGATATCTCTGTGTTAGCGCACGTGGCACACACATGGATTACGACCCAATACCTCTCAAGTCCACGTTGGCACTCCCAACTGAGCCCACCAAGGTAGTCAACAGTCAGTGGCCTTTTTCTCCTGAAAGGTACCGGCCGCAGCTATACGGTCTCTTCCATTGAGGGTCCCATCTGACGTACTCCCTTCAGTTTGCATGTTGGCTGTGAACTAAATGAATCCCACACCTTGAATCTGCCTTTTATTTCCTCTGGGATTGGTCATCTAGATGAGGAAACCCTACCTAGGTGCTTCCGTACGAACCCCATCGCTTATAAAGTGCCACCGGGGGCGAGATGGTTCAGGTGGTAGAGCGCGAACCTGGCAGTATCCCAGCCCTCGTGCTTCCTTCGGGTGGTATGGCAGCTAGGCACCGGAAGGGTGCTACAGCTGAACGCTTTCTTCTTTCTTTCTTTATAAAGTGCCACCAGACATCGTATCTCAGCGAATCCTTAGTAGTATGCTTCTTTCGATTTGTTTGCGGTTTTTGTTTCTAAGGCAGAATATGCTAGCTCATAACGTATTTGAAACCAATCTCCATGACATTCGCCCTCTTTTCGGGTGTGGTTGAACCTAATACAGGATCATTCTGTATTTCTTTGCTTTTCCAGTCGAAGAAAAAGGGCTTGAGTGTGGAGGAGAAGCGTCAGAAAATGATGGAGTTTTTCTACGAAAAGGTACCAAGGCACCAGTTTTCTGCTCACAAGTCACTTAAGAAAGACTTTTTCCAACTGAAGGAATTGGAGAGATTATGTCAAAAAGAAAAAGGCATCAACTCTATGTCTGTGAAAGACGTATTGATGAGCCTTGTTCATGACGGAATGGTGGATACAGATAAGATTGGAACCTGTGTATATTTCTGGGCATTTCCCAACAAGGCAACACAAAAGGTAAAATACATTCCACTTCCTGTTTATTAGTATTAGCATAAGAACACCATAGAAAGGCTGAAAGTTTCTATCGAGAGCACAAAACAACAGGCCGACAAAGTGCAAAACGCCCTGCAACAAGCCGGCGCAAGTCGTGAAGATACGGTGCGCAAAGTTTATGCATCTTACATGATGTGTCATTCAGAGTGAACGACGGCAAATTTTGGATAAACTCACTATTCAGCGAGCACGCTTGGAGGAGCTAACTTCAGAGCTAGCACAGCTACGTAAATGCGATCCCGAACGTTTAGAAGAACTCAAAAGTGAACGTCAGTGTGCATTCGATGCTGCAAATCGATGGACTGGTATGAGTTTTTCATCCGTTCTGCATTTCATAACCACCTTTGGAATGCGATTATGTTTTGTGTGTGTTCCAGAACGCGCGTTCATTTTTTGTTGCATGTGCTCGGGTCCAGTTCAATAAGCACAACACGTTCTGGTTTTAACTCTTTAAAATGATTCATAGATTTCCTACAACTCAGATAGAAAGTAACTTCAGTGAATGTGCTCTGGGTACGTACTGCCATGCGCAGTAGTATGCCGACGTGCTTGTCTTGGTTTCGACTGCAAAGTACACTTCTGAGCGGCCTGGCAACTTGATCTTACAGTTTAATCTGTAGTCGACCTATGCGGGCTTCCAATGGTCTCCCTTCCATCAGTTGCGAAAATAACAAGTTAAAGTTTACTATAGAGTTTTAACGGCTTTCTTAGGATATACGCCTTCAGTGAAAGGTGTTCTAAGAAAGTCCGTTGATGAAGCGATTCCGTGATTACGGGGCGTGTAAACTGAACCATCTTAACAGCCTAGCGAGGCAATGTCAGCCGGTGTCAACAGTATATCAGAGGCTACGCTCACTAGATCCGAAGGAATCAAACCACGCAACAGGATTTTCTGACAACCTTTAATGGGGATATTAATATCACCGACCAGCAGTCACAGTTCGGTAGGATGCACAGTTTATTTCATCACTCACGGCATTGTTACCCAGGTGATTTACACGACTGCTCAGTTCCTGTCGTTGAGAGCATGAGACAGCCGGTTTGCCTAAAACTGGCACCGTGTCAGGTGGGAAAGGAGACTAGAGCGACAGGCGTGACCGGACGTTGGATTGCTTTGCCGGCTGGTGGAATCAGACCATGGCCAATCTCAGTATCAGTCTAAATTGTTTGATTTATCGTATATCCCACGAATTCTGAAGTGCTACGTTGAATTGGAATTACATGAACACTCGAAATTGTTCTGGATACACCGAGATTTGATTAGCCGTTCATTTCTGACCAGAGAAGGACCTGTGAATCCACATGTACTGTGTCTCATCCATCTGAACGGTTTGTTGTTTACAGACAACTGGTTGCCTCAAATAATCTGGGGGCAACAGCCTCATGAAAGCTCATTCTTGTTCATTAATAGCATCCGACCCAAATGAGGTCATACGGACACCGAAATCTCAGGAAACTTCAAATCCGAAATGGACTATCAGACTCATCAGATTCAATAGTTTCTCAGTGAACCAATTCTGCACATCGTCACTAATTGTTTCCCTTCGTGTGTACCTTCAGACAACGTTTTCGTCATCCAGTCATGGCTGAGAAATAAATTTTCCCTGGAAGAAGCCCAATTCCGGCGCCAATTCAACATCCCAGAAAACTTTGACTACATTGAATAACTCAATCCTGCGTTTGCACAAGGCCACCTTATTTGTTCACCATGTTATTACTTTTTGGGATACTGTTGTTTTCAAAGTCTTTCCACACATGAGCTTACCACATGTCCGTACGGTCACTGAAAATTCACACATTGCTTTTCAAACTAGTTTATTGCAGATTTTGTTAACAGGGTTTCAGGGCTTCCGCCATGTTTTTTCGGCTTTCTGCAACGCATTTACAGGTTTTTATTTTCATATCACCCCACAAATTATATAGTTTTATGGATATGGCCGCCCATTAATTGTCGGTTTTTCCAAACTCCGATCCCTATTATACAGAAACAAAAGAGTAATGCGGCAAGTTAGATTCACAGAGCCATCGTGATAACACTTGATTTTTGTGGAAATTTCTAGTCTGTTCATGGCAGACTCGTCCGTAAAATCTATGGTGTATCTTTGAGGCCGCCATTTGGAAAAAAAGCAGGACGGCAAAGCCGTGGTTAAAAAAAGTTCGAAATGCTATTGCTCTTTTCTCAGTTTCTGTCTGACCTACCACAATTAGATTTTAAACACCTATCACTCCAGGTAGCTGTCCAGTGACGTCACTGTCAGTTTTGCTGTAGTTATTACAGAATCTGGAAAGCCACATTGGACGTGCGCGACGATCAGTGATTCAACCGATGATGTCTCGAGGTGAGAAACTTCGTGTTCTTTTACAATTCTATGACTTTATCGAAACCGCGTTCTTCGATTCATATTCGTCTTTAAATACGGCGCATTGGCGAAGAATCCTGGGTGCCCAATTACCTGAACCACTATGTTAACTTTGCTACCGGGCTTGCTGTGACATTCATGTCTTTGGATTTAATCGTGGAATAAACAGACCGCAATCGGTACCTAAAGTACCAGACATCTATGGGATGTGGTTGTGTGCACCCTGATTTAGCTCCGTTGAGGCGGTGCACCCGAAGTTGAGTAGACAAGTAGCGGTGGTAAGGCCTAATTCTTCACGGGCAGACCTATTTAGTACTAAAATAGAACGTCGGGTACGGAAACAGCCAAGAAGTCAACTGCGTTGTTGGAAAACTTGTTGCGATCCCGTATTGCAACAAACGTCGAGGTTGGTCTTAAGTTGTAAGCTTTTTCGGGTTGTACCGTAACGGCAGAAATGTGGCGTACGTCACAAACACTCGGTTCATTGATGAAATAATCTAAGGTTCTTTGTGACCAGGTTCGACAACCAGTGCAACAAAATGGTTTGTCGGAACTTACTGACAAAGGAGTGCATGGATTCAGTAAAACAACTGCGTGCCTGAGAGGATACTGTGACCAGCTGCTCCGAAGAAGGGATCGGAAGAGTAGTGATTAATAAAGTCGGTTATTCAATCGCAAAAAGATCGTCCAGCTGTAGCACCATCTCGTTGCCTTATTTCTATGCTACGAGAAGCAAGCGCGGGGCCCGGGATACTGCCAGTTTGACCAAGCCTAGACAGAGGAAGTCGGGAGGCACAGGTCGGGTTCGAACCACCGAGCTTCCGGTAAGTAAATTCGCGCTCTCGCCTTCCAGTTATTCAAGAACGATGAAATTCTAGCTGACACAACCACGTTCACTCAGAAAGCGAACGATAAGGACGAAAAATATGTGACGGAATGAAAAATAATAGCATGTTTTAAGGTCGAAAGGTAAATGAACGGACTTCCAAGACAGCTATGAAAGAACCAAGCATATAGGACCAACGATGGTTAATCTATATGGTTGTCCTAATGTCATAGAGTCAACCGTTCCCTCACGCCGGTTCTAGACAGGTACAACCCACAATGGCTAGTCGAAATCTTGTAGCCAGTACACTATATCCCAATATCCCATTCTCAATTGGGTGATACATTCCCATTCGTCGATTCAATAAACAAATTACAAATGAAGGGTTCATTCACGTGTTTGCTCAATTTGACTGCACCATTTACCAACGTCCTTTGATCGGAACCCTTAACTATTTATATACTCTCGTTGAGGCGAGTGTATTCGTCAACAACAGTCAATGCATTAAGTCTTCTTGCGGTGCACATTAAATGCACAAATGCTATTTCATGGCACGTTCTAGCGTCAGGTTGACGGCGTCACCATGGGCCCACCACTGGGACGGTATTTCCAAAAGTATCCTTGAAAACGGTCACCTGAAACTAGCCAATCGTCGATAGGTAGGCGGTTTCACAGTTTTAAAGAATGTGACCGCAGCGGACTTGATTCAAGGGTGCAACAAAGCCGACTCCTCGACTAAACTCATCTCTGAAGAAGCCGACAATTATTTTCCAACTAGATATCGACCTTGAACGGCATCACGATGACAATTGTTGTGTACAGTAAACCTGGGGTTGGCGCGGTACACCAACCTTAACAATTTCGTTCTACGTTCCACAGTTTTATTAACAGACCAATGAAAATCCGCTCTCGAGACGTACTGGAACAGGAACTCAACTATCACCAAGGTTTCACGGGACAACGGGTTTGTCGACAAACCTGTATGAAAAGAAGCGAAAGCTGTTATCACCAGAGTCGAGAGAGCCACCTTCTCCCGTTAACATTAGCTTTCGACCTACGGAAATAAGGCTTTACATCAAGCTGTGCAAAGTTTCCCATCCCCAAAACTTTTAGCCTAGTTCACGAGGGACGTGCGTTCCTACACTCTCAAAGCCAGTGTCTGTCCATGCCTAAAATATTAGCACACTCATTCTCTTGCTGCTATGCTGCGAAATACTTCGAGGATATGAATTGGCCACTTGGCCAAACCACTGGCTGGCTTCTGGAACCAGAACAGCAACCAGTTCAATCCGACAGCATCCAGCGTGCACTGTACACTCCTCAACCGAGGTTCCTGGACCGTTTATAAGGCGTATGCTAATGGACCCAGATGGAGAAAACAGCACAGATGTAGTGATTAAAACATCTGCCTACAGTGACAGCTTCAGGTCATTTTACTGGTGTCTTCCGACAGATAATCGATACCCTCCCTCATTTTTTAGTGCCCACTTTACTCATGACATTGTGTTAAATACTGCCGAAACTGTATGATTTAGCAAGGGCTCGCCGAGAGGTATATATTCATCCTTGTTATACATGGGAATTTTGAGCATGCCATTGTTTCTTTCCAGGACATTGGATTGTTACACCATTCAGCCAACAGACCAGGCGTCAACACAATATATGGAGCGTAATGATAAGACGTACATATGGTCAATGAAAGCCTTTAGATACGATGAGGCATGGAGGGATTGCTTGGGAATGCTACAAATTAGACAAAGGATGTCTTATTTTAGTGACTAGTAATAAGCGACTGCACATACACCAAAATCTTATGATTTTCTGTTTCAACTCTCCCTAATAGCCCTCTAGATCCATTCATCAAGCAATATGTTTCAGTGTCCTGAATCAGAACAAGTAGTAGATAAAGTAGATAGCTGTCTCAAGTAAGATGTAATGAAGATTTAGTTTCTCTAGGCTGAACGGAATAGGAGAATCAACGAAAAAGAGCTATTTTGATAGTGTTCCGCACCATACATCGATGAGCCTGGTTTAACTTCCTGGGTTAGTGGTTAACGGTTCGGTCGCACTTCTCATAGCGAGGGTAAAGTAAAAATACAAATCCCCTCAAAGGTGACCGCTAGCCTGGTCCGGCGAAAACGATCACTAGCGAAGTTTGTGATCAGGCGCACCCCTGGGAGGAAATACATTCCTTAGAACATTCACACCTCTACAGTTCTACGAGGTCAGATTCAGTTTGGATACTACTACCAGAAGTCTGACAGTCGCAACAGGAATTGATGTGACGGGCTAAAAGCTAAAGCGTCTGACTGACATGTCATCATCCCTTTAAGGCACCTGGATGCATTTTCTTGCGATGCATACGTCGCTTTCGAGGATTTCGACCTCACAGCTTTCTATACTGTCTAGGTTGCTTATCTATGAAGACCGACTGATGGGTCAGACGCAAAAAGTGATCGCACACACAACACGGGATTAAGGCACAGCTTGCAGCCACTGTTCGTGTTGCCCAAATATAGTCAGGTATACCACAAGATCCAATGCCAAAAAGCGAACGCGGTGGCCCCTTTGTTTAACGCGCAGTTGCCACACAGCTACACATGGCTCACGAGAGAAGTGGGCTATTCTGCTGTTGGTTCCTCACTAACCCAGCTGAATCCCCTCACTGGAATCACCACAGAATCATGGTTTCAACATCAGCATCATTCAAAAGTTATGCGCTAGAAAAGCGAAACAGATCGAAAATTCTATAAGACCTCTGTTAGCCTGACGAGCTTCCTCGGTAGTTTTCCGTTTATTTTTACTGAAGTTTTCGAGCCATTAGTAACGCGTGTGTTCCACTGCCGCAAATTGGTTCAGATTTCTATCTTTGTCACGTCTCAGTCGATATACTTTCTACAGTGTTATTTTTGTCATTGTTAATAGCAGCATTGCTGCTTCACTGCCAAGTAACTTGAAGAAAGTCCTATGCAATAAACAGAAAAATGAGTCGGAGCGAGCCTGATGGAAGCATATTACAAACACGCGAAATGTCTTGACCTCATTCACTGAATTTAATTTTCCGCTGTACCTTGCAGAGACCCCATCACGCACCTTTTCCACAGACGACAAACAGTTTTGTCACGACAGAAGAGGAAACAGTGTTCCCTGTTTATATTGTCAAAGCCGTAAACATCGAAAAATCTGTGGACGGAGGCGTTTCATCCCAACAGATGGCGGGATTGACTGTAAGCAGAATTTGAGTACAAAGTCGTGTGTGTGAGAATGATTATGTAGTTTAATCACACGTCAGGGACCAGCTGGCGAGGCAAAGACATGAAGATAATGCTCGAGTTCAATGACTGAGAACAACGGACGAGGTGTCGCTTGAACTAGGAATGATAACTAAGGCGACGGCGAAACCGGAATGAGGAACACGACAGAATTGGAGAGGTCGTAAGAAAAGTAACTAGCAAAAGGCGAGAGTGCATAATCGTTCCAAAGACAAACAACATTCGTTGGTGTACAGTCGCATTATGCATCGCACATCACAGGACACGTGAAATATTGAAGTCAATTTATGAAGAAATAATCATAGACCAAAAATATGGACAGGTAGACCCAGTGTGCAGACGGTGGGGGAAAATACCGGGTCGGAATAGACCAATGGGGATGTTGGAGTTACAAAACTGAGCTACGCTGTTGGGCGCTGAGAAGAGCAGACAGTGAAAGTAAAATGGATTTGCGTACAGTCAAAGCCGACAAAGCAGCAATGCAACGCCATCTGTGTTGTTTGCTCACAGCCAAACTAAAGTAAACGGGTACTTCGACAACCTGATATTGGAATTTCTGTCACGTAAGCTCGACTTGTCTCAGTAAATGTCTGGACACATGGACCAATCGCCCTTGGCTTTGTTCTCCCAGTAGGCACCATTGAACTGAAATATCAACTCCCCTGTATCTGGGTCTGCTTTGCGTTCAAACCATAATGGTGTGTGAGCACTGTCAACTTGGTCCACTGGAAAAATGGAAAAAAGGTAGTAAGGTACCGAAGATGAAACCAAATTTGATAAATTGTCACTAAGGTGTCAGTATACGCGGTTCAGAGAGTACTGGACGCAAATGTGTGTGTTAGTGATCCTGACGCCGGCTCTGACTATCACCTGTTCGTGCAATGATTAGTGAATTGTGCATTGGAAAGGGCCCTAGCAGAGTTGTGCTGGATTTCGTATGAAGAAAAAGGATGTGTACCAAAAACGAGTGACCGGTAGCGACCCTAAAAAAGCTTACCATGTACGAAGATGTGCGCCTTTTTGAGGCGATGGTATTGTGGTGGGGATATAGTAAGAACAGTAAGAATATACTCCAACGACTAAACACTTCATCTTTAATTGACACCCGACTGAATATCACTGACATCTGAGTACCAGATCAGCTGATATCATCGGTAAGCGAATAGGATACAATAAACACCACAGGTCATCCTAGAAATACATCTATCAGTTTTGCCAATAAAGATGTCACGGCAACTGTTACTGAAGTGGTAAATGACGTGAGGATGGTCAGGCGGACCTTTGCCTGTGTATGCGTTCTTGTGTGAATGATAATCTGGACCCAGTCTACAGATTGTGATGTTACGTGAGTGTCCGCGTGGCCAGCATTGTTGCTGACGACTTATGGTCGCATGACTCATGACTCTCCCCTTACAACCTGACCTATAACGAGATCAAACCGATGCTAGCACATATTTCCGGTGTACTTGATGGGGAGTGGGTGGGTGAATGTTTCACTCAGAAACGCAACTTTTAAAGCCCAAGGCAGTGAAAAATTTAACCACGCTCATCGCTGATATTTTCAACATCCTGTTGGAGCAAACGGATTCAGCCATGCTGGTGGAATTATGGTTTTACAGTCTACATTCAACAAAAGGGGACAAGCGAACTCATATAGTGGTGGACAAACGGAGCATACGTACGCTAGATGGTGTCCCAAATTACACTATATGGATAACCACATTCTCAAGCGATTCTAACGTTTCGCGTCAAGCATATGGGGAGGAAATCATCACTTACAGAAATTGTTTATGTGGGCTGGAATTAGACTGCCGTTAGATGAGTTACCGTCCACTGATTCCGACAGCAAACTACTAGAGACTGAGCTGACGCTCTTTCGCTTCGAATCAGATCGAGGATCATTAGACTTGATGCCATTATTCAAAGCCTCCATGGCCAATTGAGCTGCCTTTTCGCGACGGCGCTGGCGTTGTTTTTCTTCCAAGATAACTTTTTCGCGATTAGCCTCATCCCACCGACCCAATTCCATAAGACGTTGATCAGGACGAAGACGAGAATCTGTGGGACACACTCCCTCTTCAGGTTCATTTAACTGAACAGCCAAGGGTGTGAAATAGTACATGCGATCGGCCTCCGGAGGCAATGGGTTCCGTACCCAGGCAACCCGTGACGTCCCGGTTTCTAGTACTGGTTTGCCACTCTGCGTCGTCCTGGTACTAATCACGGGAGCGTATTCTATTGATTCATCCCAAGTGCCATTGAGAACATAACGTACGGCTCCAGATTTGTCCGTTACTGCACCAGTGACCTGTGTAGAAGATGAATAGAGGATGATTTACTTGCTGAAACATATGCAAATACGAAGCACTGCACTGTCAGCGGAGACGCTTAATAGGGAATAGATGTGCACTGAAAAAAAGAGGGCACCGCAATGGTGGCCACTACACAGTACACATAGTTGGACAACGATGAATGCCACGAATACTTCTTTGGGAATTGTCGTTGTGAGAAAACCATCCCAAGACCACAAAGAAAAGCACTTCAGATGAAAGCTTCAATTCTGCAAGTTGGTGGAACGGTGAGAAATAACTCCGTTCATATGAATATCGATGCTGTAGTGCAAGGACAGTGGTATTGGGATATAGGCTAGCGAGGATGCAACACAGAGGTGTGTTAGGCAAGCAGAATTCGATACACCTCGGACGTCAACATCACGCCGCTCGTGAGCTAACGTGTAGCGTTGTGGCAGACTTTAGTAGAAAACGAATAGGCAGGAGTCTAAGCACTGCGAAAATTCTGAGCTGTTTTAATGAACACACTGACTGATATTACATGTGCACAAGAAAAAAGATTGAAAAAGGGTCTTAGACAAAATGATCGGGGAAACATCAATTGGGTTAAATGAGGTTCCGTTTATTACGAAAATAGGGACAAATACCTGCACTGAGGAGCAGTTGAACGAGACTCAATGCTAATCAGTCATTCCCGAATGTTGAGGCAACTCACAGATTTCCCACATGAAGATACGCACATAAGTTCCTGAATTCTCAACGATAAATCGTTGGGCGAATCAGATGCAATACATAGTACCTTAGTTGTCATTGTCGTATAAGGAGACGGTTAAACATGAGTACCATTACAGTTGCAAACACACAACAATGAAGTTTTTTTCCGGATCGCAGAGTTCACGGACAGAAAGAAAGCATGGACGGGTAACACAAAGGATACCACTCACCCGACGTGGAGTTTCACTGGAGAAGTATGAGTAGGCTTTGAAGGACAAGTGACACTTCTCTCCCGTACTGTGGTTGATAATATCCATTTCCCCACTATTGTCGATCCATAGGCGCCCGACAATAATGTTGTGTACGGTCATGGGGATCTTATGCCAAGTATAGTGGTGCCCAGTGCGGCGGTATACCAAATGACACGTCCCTATTGGGTTGATTTGCAGGTACTTCCCACGGAACTTGGTGTTCATGGAAAACTCCAGCCAGCTGTACCATTCGTTGCTCTCACAATGTAACGCACATTTGGGAGGATGATGGCTAACCTGAGGCGGTCAAAAAGAGTAACAGATTTACCATTTCAGTTTTGAGAAATACGGATTTCTTTCACTCGACCATCCAACCAGAACTAACAACAAAATGAGTGACGTCTGTAGAAGCGGAAATTAGTTCACGTAACTGTGATACGTCGAAGCTGACAGTACATAATTGAAACAGCTGTTGTGGTCTTGGGATTACTCAGATTAATATCACGACTCTTTCTTGCGACTCAGGCCAATTTGGTGTGCCGAATAAACACTACAGCTCAGCTCCGGACGGCTGACTAGAATCAGAAAGTAATAACCAATACACGAAAGTGACCGGATTTTGTAGACCTTAAAACAGTAAAAGAGGGTATATACCGCATTAGGACGGGTTCTTCCGCCGAATAGAGATCATCCATACTGAGTAGCCGTGAACTTCAAATACACGGGTGACACGGGACAGCGTACTCCTCCAAGAGTGTAAAGTAAGCGGGCTACGATCCCACCTCAAAAAAGGCTAAATAGTTCAGATTCATTGATCGATTATCAAATCTGAAAGCTGGGTTTGAGTAGATGAATCGATCAGTGATTAACCCGTGGTTTGAAACAGAAACGATATAGACCTCATTTGTGGATCGCATAAGCCATTAAGGAAAATGTTTCGAGCTACATGTACCCAGGTTCATCAAGCACTGGGTGAAGGTATTCCAACCTGATTAAACTTTGCAGTATGAAGAGATAGTTTCCGTTCAACGGAGCAGACAGATGAGAAAGTCGTGATAAACTTTCCTAGGTCCAGCTTAGCGGATATCTTCATGTAATACCTTAGGAATACTGGGAGCATTGACATCTGAGCAGTTTGCAAGCAGATGATGTCTTGTTCTCTGTGGCTCAGAACAACACGCCCATAGTAGGCAACTTCATTTCCGTCTTGTAATTTCGTTCACAACTGAAACACCAGTGTCTAATGGCATTTCATTTCCCGACGTCGAGTGTATAGCCACAGCAAGTGGATCACACATAAGCCATGTAAGGCTGAAATCTATTCGACAAAGTATATTTTTTGGATGTTTTGCTCCCATTAATTGTAAACGAAATGCAGTCCGGCTCTTGTGAAACACAGCACGCCATCTGTCACGAAGAAAAAAGAATAGGAAGCTGAGTCGCGATCTAGTCCTAACGACAATCTGTTAGTAACACCCCAAACATAAATCAATGTCAAATTTTACAAGCTGTCCTCCACAGACCCAATTTGCATTGATTTTCCATACAAAGGTGTCTCGTTTTAATAAAACATTACCTTAAAACGGCACTGTTCTATTAAATATACAGAACAAATTGATAGTGGTGTGGAGAGATTTGGCAATTTTCATCTATTCAGCAGAGTTGGAATTTATATCACTGGAAAGAAAAAGCCCCAGTTCCCTCAGTCGTTATCTCACAGTTACATCGTGGATCCACATGTGCATGTGGCTCAAATAAGTTGGATGTGCAGTGGGAACGCTAATAGCACCTTTCACGATGGCTTGCAGCGTTGACAAGCGGAATATCACATTTTTCCATGCCAGAAGGTTTGCTGAATACCAGTCATTTCGTTGAGGCCAACTTTTGTATTATTTAGCAGTTAAGGAATACGAACAATTTGGTCTTTGGAAGGATTTCATCAGAAGCGCGCGTCCGACTAGTAAGTGTGTCCAAAACACAGCCAATCATCGTACTATTGACTAGAATCAGTCACGGAATACACTAAGTGGTTCCCCACTACAGGAAGTACTGGGGCGTCTTCATTCTGTAAAGTGCGTTCATTTTTTTAGCTTACGATCTCTAGAACGACCATGAATACGAGTATCAATAACACTGTCAGCGTCCAACTGAGGATGCGCCAGGCGAGATGGGACACACAAAAGTAAGTGCAGTTAACTTGCATACAAACCGATAACCATAAAAACAATTACATAACTATGCCAGGTCAAAAGTCCATTTCTTCGTTACTCTCGAAGTGCGCACAATGGTCATTCATTGTACCACACTAGCAATGCGGACCGTTACAGAGCGTATCATTCTCCAAAACTCCGGATGGGCGCCGGTCCACCAAATCGCCCCAACACCCAAACGTTCGCGGTCAACGGAAAACGGAAGCATTTGTCACCTGACGAGTACATCATACAGAATCCATAGTTTATGCACCTGTTTTATTCTCTCTCTCTCTCTCACCCTCCACATGCACTTATCGAACAGTTATCGATTACAGTTTTCAGAGTGATTAGGCTGCATAGTATACATTGTTCCAGCAAGCACAGTGGCCCATGTATAAACAGCACTTGATTATCTCTTACGAGCATAACCTCCTTTGTTATCTCAGTGCAGTAGTCCAAAAGTTCCGTATGCGACAACAACTGAAATTGGAGTCGACTAAGCTAATAAGACACCCTAGATCATCGGAAGCGAATTTCTGTATTAGTCTCGAAACTTTTGGAATCTTCTAAACCCACTACGTCATTTATACATTCAGTGAATTTGTCAGTTCCATCATTACGATGACGGTTCTGTTGTTTAACACGGCCTAGCAATAGTTCGACGGATGGATACAACAAGCACACAATTCAGGTCAAGTTGAGTTTCATGCAATCGGAGGTGAATTTTCGGCATGCAGATGTAAAAAAGTCACGTTCTAATGACTAAATAATTCGATACACGGTAAAGAAGCCACCACAATACCCGACTTGCGAGGTTGTCACACAGAAAAGGACTAGATACAAGACGAGCCAAGCAAGATGTAATTTCAGAGGGACAGTAGTTTGTACTCGGAAGGAGTGCATGAGGCAGACGAGGTCTCAGTAGTAAACTAGTGTAGGGAGTGAAAACCATTGGTGAGGATTCGTTACGCGAGGTTGCAGCAAGCACCGAAATGCTTGCCTACCGCGAAACTTTGGAGATTCCACTGCAACTACAAATGTGCTCTAGTAACCTAACAATAGCACAGTGAGCAGTTTCCAAAATAAAAAAGGGAACTACAAATCCAGTGATGGGGAGTTCGTATGACACGCCTACGAATAAGATTTAAGTGGATAGGAAGGGTTGTCAGTTTCGTAGATTCTGATGTGGGCGACCAGTGAGGAGACGCTGGAAAGAGGGATTAATCAGTATCAAGGGATTAGATACGTTTTGAGATTTCGGTACAGTGTATGTGCGAAACGCTTAGCCTGATCAGCCAATACTTTTATCCAGTATAGCTACTGCAGATGGGCATTAGGTAAGATATACCTACAGTCAACGACTATCATCAACATATGTGCATCGGATGAGAAAAGAGATCAACATGTCATTTTACAAAAGGAAAAATGAGGAAATCAGATCTCCAAAGGAAGCCGCTGTGAGATGGCAGTGGAAAACAGAGGGGGTGGTCTGTGAATCAGTCCTCCGTTCGCTTGTCCAGCCTTTTTTTCAAAGCCTGAATCGGTGAAAAGCTGTAGTAATCATCATCTAGCAACGCCAGAAGAAGCGTGAGTGTATTCAATCAACAAGACATCACCGTCAACATCAGAGGTGTCAGTAAGAATACTCATCCTGATGTGTAACTGCCACACAACCACAGGGTTTAGTTTGATTGTATTTAAAGCCTTAAGGGTAAAAATAGAGAACAGGGAGAGAACTGGCATTAGCCTACCAACAGTGATTGCATCCTGGATATCTGTTTCTGACAGACGAAACATACCAGCGCCGGTTGACAAGCTAGAGCGGTTTTCGGGGCTTGAAAACCGGCTGTTATCGAAGCACAGTTGTAATTACGGGTGATGCGATGCGAACTAGGCTGTCAGACCTAGTGTTGGGATCTGTTCACAACGAGGTGGGCGGAATAGACGAAGGGATTGTACGAAGGTAGGTGTCAACAGTAGGATTTTTCAGCTGACCCAGCTTGCCGTACGCAGCAGCTAAAGCGGACGACAAAACGTGATGATCGATACGACAGGCGAGTATTTTGGGTTGTGAATTTCATGTCCTGTGAGACTGGGCTACTTTGTAGGTGCCTACAACCAGAAAAGAGGGTGATTAGAGCTCTCAATCAGAGTTTTCGGCCCGGAAACGTAATCCCAGGGAAGCAAGCGGTTGTCATCACATTATTAGGGAACAATATGCCGTACGTGCTCCAGTTTCCAAGGTGGAGGATTAGGAGAATGCACACTTTAGAGCGCTACCCACTGAGAAACCTGGTATGAGAAACACTGAGGGTTCTAAAGTAAACCTCCAAGTATAGTGTTACGGATTACACTCCATCCAGCCACTTTACAGTGACTTACGATATTAGCCTTTGTGAAGTAACGGAGTGAATCAGCTATGCAACAATCTCCATCGCGTGAGTTCTTTAACCTTGTCATGTTTATCGCGTGCTCCCCTTTCGCAGTAGCTGTTCAAACAGTGGAGAGTGCTGATATAGATTACCTCTGATAGTAACCCAGGGAGGAGACAAACCAATGGTTAATGACCCTGATAGATGTGGTTATATCACACAACGACGATCCTGCATGAAGGACATCACATTCAGTGCGTAATTCCCTCACTCCCAGTCACGTCGGACACATAGCACCGCTTAGCGTTAATGAGCTGATTGAGTGATCGAATACAGTCGTGCAACTCTTATTGTCTTGTTTTTTATCCTCAGTAAACGAGGCTGTGGCAGCTGGAATCAGTGTATTTCGGTACCCGGTGTGTAGCTGAGAAACTGAACCGGGCTTATGCAGATCGTCAGAAGAGGGGTAGAAAAGTTGAGGTAGTCAAACAGGAGTGGACAAGAGGTTGAAGGATAAAAATAGAAAATGGAAAATCGGTGGTACAAACCAGGTCCCCCAACAGGATAGGGTAACCTGGCGAACAGAGATTTCGTTTTCGGCTGTGAGGTTTTTCGCGAATTAGGGTCACGCTTCTCCTTTGAGTAGAATCGGGGGGACAGATCCTAAGCAGTGAACAAATAACGCAAGCGGACGGTGTGCGTGAGTCAAGATAGTGATATCGTTTACGAACACCAGTCGTCTGGAGAAGTTCACAACCGGTTATGCCTAAAGAAGTCATGTAAAAACAATCGAGAATAATGCCGGTGGAGTGGGATTTCTGAAACTGCCAGGTTACCAGAACCTAGATAGGAGCGGTCAAGGCGCAAAGGTTGGGATCGGAATACAATACTTCTGGTCGGTAAGTTCAAGCCTTAACCGCTCGTCCGAAGTGGAGGGGATCGCTACAAAAGTAAGACGATTATACCCGTAGAATTCTCAAAAAGATAATTCTCTAGAAAAAGCATTCTGTTTCGCGGACTTTTCGGGCGAAAAATGGAAGCCACTAAAAGGCACTGGGAAATTTCGGTAGCTTCGACCTTACTATTTTCCGAAAAGAACCTAAAACAAAGGCAAGTGATGTGACAGTTATTAATAGATTATCAGTAATCCTAATAGTGAAGATGACGTGGTCACCTGATTTGCTGTTATATGCACTTAACGTAAGTGCGATTTTAACCCAACCAAAGGAACAAGGTAACATCGAAGTGTCAGATTTTTTCTAGAGGCGCAGTTGCGTCGCTGATAAATTAGAAGCACTGAAACCAGTCTGTAGTTTATTGAATAACGGAAGATCGACACTCAAGCCTTTTTCACTCGAAATCTACAATGATCGACCCTCAATAGACCATCAACAGAGGTTTCGAGTTTTACACTCGCAATTAAGGCGTCGACATGCGACTCAAACAAGTCCTATTTTTGTGACATTCATCATATGAGGAAGCTACATCTAGGACATCCCACCGTTGTTACGCTTTTGACAAATTAGCCTTCACTCTTTTTACCCTTTCCGCTCCACATGCGGCGCTGTTACCCACAGTGTGAGCAGGCGGTTGTGGTCACAGACTGATCTAACGAGCTGATTGGTTCTACTCAGGGTTCACTGCCCGTCCAGAGACTGAGCTCTGTTCATGTTGTCCAGTTTTACGGTGGTCCGTTAATAAAAGTCTGTTCCTGACGTAACGTATTCTACGTACGAACACTTCAGCTGGAGCAAAATTTAAGAGGTCAAAGTAATTCTTTCTGATAGCATGACTTCTTAGTTCGATTAAAACTAATCGACAGCCCGCGACCAACTGAATCTTTCTTAAGGCCCATCAGGAACGCGTATTCCCCGACTTTCCACCAAAATAATTTCATACCCGATACCAAACACGGAGTTAAACTCTACTTCAAGGGTAAGGAGGGCAACTTGACACAACCTAATATCCCGGATCAACGTCCACATATGTTCAAGTTGATATTGAAATACACAATAGGATCTGTGGGACCTTGGGAGAACGAATTCTTCATGAACTCCAAAATAGTTTCTATCGACTCTATCGCCAGCTTTTGAGAACTTTGGAAAATATTGAGGTTATTACGAATAATGAATGACGGGACATTTTGGCCGTGCAACAATGAAGCAACACGAGTTTTCGAGGAGTTAGTCAGCAAAAATGGTCTCAAAAATTAAGGGAAAAAGGAATTCATCTCACGAGCCCTAGCTAAATGAAATGGCCCCAAAAACTGAGTAAAAGATGTCAATACCCATGCCCGTCACTTACGATGGTCAGTGCAGGGAAGACTAGCATTTCGAGCGGCTCGTTAGGGGAATAGGTGAATTAGGTGGATTGCAATCCATAGACGGAAAGATACTCTTACAAAATACTTTCCGAGAAACGTCAACTGCGATGAACCAAATTGTTAAGAACTGAAACACAAATACAAATACAAATAAAGTTGACAGATTTTTTCAGAAAATAAACCAGCTAACCCGGGACATTAGTTACAACATGAAACGAGTGGTTTTATGTCTGCAAAATGAAGACCGGCAAGAGAACAGACCCAAAGGGTGATAGCACTATAATGCATAATACTTCCCACAAGGTCTAACACAAAATGGTTCGGAATCCATGACGTGGATTGGTGGGCCAAATAAAATATGCGGAAATTACACTGACTAGGTGCAAAAACAAAAGGAAACTTTTAAGGCCATCGTTAAAAGAAAACAAGACACCTTACAGCTACAAGGTGACACAAGGATATCACTCCATCAAGATTTTACCACGAAGATTTATTCCGATTTCGGTAAAAGAAACCACTAATAGAGGGTACACTTTCGGCAAAAGCTGCTTCGCAAAGCGTCAATTCACATAAGCCTATAGCTAAGCGAATAAAGATTCTCGGGTGGATTAAACCTAAGGATCCAGAAACGCACAACATAGCTCCTCAGCTATCCAAGCTGAAGGTTTAAAACCGGTGATTTAGTTAGGCAGCCATCTCAGGGAGTAAATATTGACTCCAAGGGGTCAAAGATGGTAAATACAGCAAATTATGACCGAGGTTAGAGAGACCAGTCGATGAGGTCAGAAAGACATACTTGTTCCGCTAAACACCTCCAGCCCAAATCGTCTGTACGGTCGCATTCGTAAGTTTCTCCTAGGAGTGGATTGAATGGTTTATTTACCCGCACAGCAGTAGATGCGTAGGCGGAGATCGTGAACGCGGCAACGTGGACCATTTGTTCCAGTGAGTCATTGCAGAGGGCGCCGCGATCCAGACATGAGGAATACTCAAATGTTTCGGTCAATCGTTGAAGCATGGAAAGAGGCTCGCTAAAATTAACCTGAAAGTGCCGACCGAGCGGGAAATAATGGCGAGTTACCATGGGAACGTGAAAGTGCAAACTAGCTATGACAGCAAATTCATAACTAGCTCTCTCGCATAGTGACCTTTGTCGAGAATCAAACTGGAACCACAGTATGGCGGGGAAATAACGGAAGTTTTCACAAATATGCCAACAGAGGCGGGATGAATAAATAAACATTGGTCGGCACAGATAAATGAACGTGAACCCAGCAGACGTTGAGGATTAGAGGAAATTTCCTCATTGATTCTAGCCAGCAAACGTGTATCAAAAGAGGGGGGTCGGAATAAGGAATAAGTATTTACCAACAACACCAGAAACTATCTATTAATTCTTCAGTGAACGTTTGGCGGTACTAGCTGTCAGTATGATTCGAGAAGAAAGTGAGTCAACTTGCCAGAGCATTATGACATCAATAGCTCATAGTAACAGAAGCTGATCGAGTACTGGTTACCACCACCAGCGTTCTGTATTCCGAAATGAATTTATCTGGGAACAGTGCGCCATAGATAATCGCTTGAAGTGGATAATTTGTTATCGCACGGTTATTGAATGTAATGAACACGCATGCCTCAATCTCGTACTTCAAAGAGGAATGATGTGGATATGATGTAATCAATAGCTGCAACCGCACGACAGTGGAATGAGTGTCGCGTACAAAGAGGAGACGGCGGTATACTTAAGACTTTGGCAGGTGTAGTTTGGTGCAACCAAAATCAGGGGCACCTCATTTACTGACACAAATCTGGTGTGATATCGATGAAAAAATATGCGACACAACGATGTGAAGGCGCATCGATTCGATAAACAAACGTCCATACCCGTATGAAATATTCAGACCTAACAATAGGTTTTCTCGGAAAGTCACTCTAAGCCCGGATGGCAAACCTGATTGCAAAAACTTCGTCAAACTAGTGAAAGCCGACGTCCCCCTATAGTGCGCGGACACTGCCCAGAAAGGGATCGTTGCAATATTCCCCGGGTCGGGTCATTTGAAATCCAGGAAGACATGCTTTCTACTGTGCCTCTTGGGTAGGCAAATGTCGGTAGACAATCCAATTGTTTTCGCGAGGATATAATTGCAGCGAACAATTGGATTTCTTCAGCAAATAAGTGACTGATGTACTGCCCTTAACCCGTAACAAACAAGTCAACGATGGTCTTATTACCCCCCTCCCCTACTGGAATGCTGAGGTCATTTCAAAAGGAGGCATAAACAATTCGTTCATCCCACAAGCTCTATAGTGGTATGAGTAAAAAAGTGAAATGTTGCCTTCGAGGAACACTACCTACCGGGCTTCAGCTCGTGCAGAGTAAGGAAGCCCTCTCTGAAACCGGATGAGATGGAATAAAGGATAACCATACTTTTGACAAGTTCGACACTTCGAGGATTTCGGTGAAAAACAACAATCAAAGATGTCAAGGGAGAACTAGCGTCATAAAACTGTCCTTCGAATACACGCAAGAACATTATCACCTGCGGAGGGCACGTGTGGTCGGTAGTGCCTTCGTCCGAACGGCTAAATCTCAGGTCTGATAATTCACTGTGATTCACGGTCAGGCTCCTGCTTCCGAAGCTAGATGTACTTCCAAGCTACCGCTAAGAATGATACTCATCAACTTGCGAAAAAGACTTTAGCGTTTCAATTTTCTGCTGTACAATGGAGTGCGAAATGTTGTAGAAGTGTTCGATAAGGTTTAACGGCTCTCTTAGAAGCAGGGGAACTCCAGATTCTACAATGATTGGAAGGGATTAAAGAAAGAGGCCATCTAGATCTGAGCAACGCGGTCCGCCTACAACTGCATTGTGCTCTAGAAATACTGGTGGCTTGCAAGTCATCAGCACCAGTATCGACAAAACTGGCGCATGTTAGTATGACATCCAGAGAGAGTAACTCTATCAGGCCCGTGACCTCATCACCATCATTATCAACGACAGCAATATCAGTGTTGGCACTGATGCTTCATTGCCGTACAACCATAAGGTTCGTCTAGTTACATATATGTATATATATTTATCATTGTATTGAACGCCCTACAGTGAAGAGAAGAGAAATAGAGTAGATGGGGGAGGGGACCTAGTGCTGGCCTATGTCAAGCATACTGAGGTGCCTACACCTCCAACCGCTCAATCAGACAATCTGGAAAGAAACTGACAGCACGAACGCCACTGACATCGATTAGCCGCCATTTCTTGCAACGTCTCCACCCAAGCACAGATAAGTCACGGGGACCCCATTTTGGAAGTCGCACAACACCAACAACACCCAAACTCTTCGTGATCTCTTTCACGCCTTTTTGCCAAGTCATGTGCTGTCCACCTCGCGGTTTTCGCCATCCTGAAGGAGGCACGGAGAACAACACTCGTCTCGGTAGACGGTGTTTCGGCATGCGTAGCACATGACCGAGCCATCG